TAAATTGTTGGAGACGAGAAGCGCGGATAGGGGCGAGGAAAGTTGACGGATTATTGCACGCGAGGATGGTAAACGAGGCGGATTCCGCTTCTGAAATATTATTTACGCCGGTGTGAAGCGAGGGGAGGGGGCCTTTAATACACGGGGCGTGTAATACACATTTTACACGCTTAGGCGTGTTGCGCCAGCGCGAAATTTAGATAGGAGAATCTAGTTCTAGGCTAAGTGATAAGTTTCGGTAACTGAATATCCTCCTGGGGGATAAGGGGAGGGGGGTAAGTTTTAATTTGGAAATATAGCTCGACAAGTTTTATCACGGCGGTATTACTTCTTACGATAATTATTGAGCTCTACGAAATTGTTGAAACTAAACAGTTGTACGACGATATAAGGGATAGGGAATAAGCTATGATTTATTTCGAGACGATCGATTAAAAATTTATCTTATCAATTATCCTTTATACGAAGGATTTCTGATTTTCTAAAAATGAATATCTTTACCTTGTTTTCCGGCTAACCTGTTGTACAACCGTTGACTCCCTCCCCTTTAACCGAGAAGATAAAGGGTCAGAGACCTCGAGGGGTTATCGAGCAGTGATCAATTTTACGAGCCGATCGTCTTTTATGAGCTTCCACCACGCGCCCTCCGGATTGTCATTCATGACGGCCCACGGCTCGTAAAATATCCGTTTCCTGTCCACTCCTCCACCGCTCGTCAGCGTTCGTCAGCGGTTTTTCCACGGCGGCCGACCTCGTCCGACACGCGTCCGAAAAAAACAGGACGGGGAGCAGACTCGGATGTTTTTCACGCGGCCAATTGACGTGTTCGATGTAAGCGAATTTTTTTCCCCAATAAGGATTCCATCCGTTCGACGAGAATATATATTTCGCGGTAACGATTTCCAACACAAAAATTGTTCCAATTTTCTTCCCCTCCCTTTCTTCCCTTCCTTCGTTTCGTCTTCCCTTCTTTCATTCACAGGAACCTAGATTCGATACCTAACTCTTTCCCCCCTCCGCACCGATAATTATCGCGAGAAGCGAAGCAAAGAAAAATCCTTGGATGCGATTCCAAGGAGAGATAGAGAAAAAAAAAAGGAGAGAGGGGGGGGAAGAAAAAGAGGCGAGCCACGGTCGATAATCAATTGAGAATAGAGGAGGAGGAGGGGGGACAGGTGCAAGAAGACGCAGGCGGGAAAAAGGCGGAGGGTGGAGGATTCGCGGGCGCATTATCCCCCCGAAGGATATTTGCAGGAGGGGGAGGAGGAGGAGACGCGTTTTTGCACCGCGGTGAAAACGCGCCGCGGCGCGGAATATTAATATCGCCATTATTCCCGCAATATCCCCGGCGAAACGAGGAGCACGCGTATCTCCCTCCTCTCCCCGCCTGAGAGAAAGAGAGAGAGGGAGGGAGAGGGAGAGAGACACTTTCTCGAGACAATGCGGGAGGCGAAACGAAACGAAGCGAGGCGGAACGCAGCACTCGGCCACCAATATCCACGGTATGACGCCCGAAAATTAAAAGCAACCGCGGCAGATGCGCCGGCCGCATTAAAGCCGCGCGGAGAAAGGAGAAGCGGAGAGGGTAAGAACAACCTTAGTTAGCCCTAAATCGGGTTAATTAGAGGGAGGGGAGAGGAAAAATATTTTCGTAACACTCCTCGCCACCGTGTATCCTCTCCATATATTTTTTCTGAATTTGTACATCGATTTGATGGATAATTAATTATCCGATATTTAACGATCAATTGCGTTTAATTGTCGTCTATTTTCAGTCACAAAATATAGATAAATTTATTTATTGTATTTAATGATTCGTTAAACGTCTTCGATATATCGGAATTACCCTGTAAGCATCCAATAATCATAACGAAATGCAATAAATACACCGATTGATGACCCATTATCAGCGTAGAGAGAGAGAGAGAGAGGAGACGACGGTTGAAAATGATTATCTAACCCACTGCCACCAACGCGTAATAACCATAATGGATATCCAATCCGTAATAATATCCAATATTCCAATAATATACCATAACCATAATCCCGATAATCGCAAATATTTCTATGAACATCGGCCAATCATACGATCTGTAAATTAAAAATTAACAATAAAAAGAGAAAAAAAAACAAACCTATCTCACTATAAAATTTCGTCTAAGAAAACAGAAATAGAAAGTTTCTTTCTTTCTCCAATTATAAAAGTAACGCATCTTCACTTTGCATCCCTATCTTCCCCAAGCCAAGAGTTTACTTTTACTACGGCCGTTTTCGCGACCGATTCTCTTGGACTTTCTTTCTTTCTTTTCATCCGGCTAATGAAATAACGAGCTCCCCCTCCTCCTCCTTTCGTGACTTTCGCGCCAATTCGCCAAAAGCTGCAGGAAAATCCGCGTTATTTTCCCCGCCTTGCGAGGGGGAATGATCTGAAAATCGAAAGACATTTGAGCGAAGCGCATCCGATCCCGTTGAAATCGGGACGAGACGGAATTACCGGATCGACGCTTAAGCGCCGTGTTCATCCGTCGCAGATCGGCGACGTAGATGAAGCGTCCGCTTGTTCCCCGTGATGGAAAAATTGTGTACAGTTTCGTACATCGCGGAAAGGGGTCGCGACAGTTTTCATTGGACGATAAGTCGATCGGGATGGAACGAGCGAGACACGAGCAAGAGGGAGAAGTACAATGGGATACGCTGGATTGTTCTGGAGCGTGGTAATGTATGGAAAGATATCGAGAATGGGGACGAAACGAGGATATCCTCGATTAATTACCATCCATAGAGAAGTTCATTGGGATTTCGAGGCGAGCTCCAATCGTCCCTTCGTGCTAAAGAGGAGAGGAGAGACTTTTATGATAAAACTTAACACGAAGCAATAATTTATCGCTCGAAACGTAATTGTATGCGAAAATGAAAGGATCAATCGTAATTGCTACGAATAAATAAAAATCTTGTTTCAAGCGTTTCGATGAGCGAAATAACATTATTCGAAATAATTTAATATATTCAACGCGACTTGAGTTGTAAAAATTTCGAATAAAACAAGAGTTTACGTGATCCACGCGTCCTCCGTACTCGAGAAACTCGTGATTTAACCGTCGTATCGAAGCCAATTATAACGTTATTCGTCTCGATGTCTCAAAGAAAACCCTTCCTCTTCCTCGAAGGAGGAGGAGGAGGAGGGGAAGCTTTGAGAGAATCCCTTTCGAATCATATTCGATTCAGGATCGGACTTTAGGAAAGGTTTGTTAGACGCGGATAACGAAATAACACTATTCGAAATAATTTAATATATTCAACGCGACTTGAGTTGTAAAAATTTCGAATAAAACAAGAGTTTACGTGATCCACGCGTCCTCCGTACTCGAGAAACTCGTGATTTAACCGTCGTATCGAAGCCAATTATAACGTTATTCGTCTCGATGTCTCAAAGAAAACCCTCCCTCGAAGGATTTTTTGATCGTATTAACGATCCTAATGATCGACAGTGTTCGAATTCGATTCAGAATCGGACTTTAGGTTTGTCGAACGCGGATAACGAAATAATTATTCGAAATAATTTAACATATTCAATTGACGACTCGAGTTGTAAAAATTTCGAATGAAACTCTCGAACAAGAGTTCACTAGTAATTATCGATCATTGTCGCATTGTTTCGAACGAATTACGACTTTATCCGCTCTCTTTCCCCTTTCTTTCACCTCCTCGAAACGGAGGATGTTGCACGGTCGACGATCGACTGTTCAACCTCGAGGAGACGGGGTCGAGGGAGGGAGAAATTAGAAAAGAGAGAAAGCCACCAGCGTTCGTATACGCGTATTTCTGGAGCGGGCACGCGACGCAGAGAAGAGTTGAGACCCGTTCAGACGCTCGAGGACGAGCGTTGGCGCGCAACGAGTCCCGGCGATGCACGCACACGAAGGGGCAAATCTGGGTCGAAGACGCAAGAATGCGAGAACCGTTTGTTATCGGCTTTTCCCGGGGAAAATGGGTCGAGACGCGGGAGATCCTTGCCGAGGCGATGGCAACCGCGACCCGACGCTTTGTCTGAAAACCGTGGTTTCAACTCGCGGCCGCCTATTGTGCTCTCTCCCTCCCCCCCCTCGCCCCGTCGCATCCTGCTGCAATTCGCGCCCTCGAACGAAATTTCACTCCTTGC